CAAAAATCACTGAGTGCAGGCAAAATCAACATCGCTTTAAGCAGATTTGCATTTTACGATTCACTGTTTAAAAGCAAAATTATTTTACCTTCATTTTTAAGCATAATGTGAAACGAAACCACCTTTTCAATTTAACAGGAAATTTGAATAACTGCAATGAAGCTGAAAAAAGAACCGAACTTGATCAACAAGCAAATTCACCTCCCTCGGTAAAGCTCATTTCTGAAACCAATCAAGATCACCAGAAAACTGTCTGTCTTAAAGACAATTTGCACAATATTGGCGTTGCTAAAATCGAAGACATTTCTGAAGACAAATTACAAAACAAATTGAAAGACATATCGGATCAGCGACTAACAAAAGAAAAAATTCCCCAGCAGTCTAATTTTCCCAATGGATCAGTTTCTGCTGAGCTAATTGACCAAGAAACTGTTACAAAAATTCCTCGAAAAGATGAGAAAGCTGATAAGCGAGAAAATGAATTGCATGAATACCCAACTGAGGAAGTGTCCTTGATTGACTTAGACGACGAAGATTTTATAATAAGCGACCCGATCATTTGCGCCGCCGACGCACACCATCGAAATGAAAAATTTGGTCCATTACACAAATGTTCATTAAATCAACCTGAGCCTAAAGCGCCACACCCGAACACAATAAAAAAGCTGCACACATACAGTGGGCCAAGCGACTCACTAAACTCGACTAACATATCCTCGTCCTATAAATCGACACCATTTCTCGGAATTCTAAATCCAGCACTGACCAGTCCGAGCAGCCGAAGATCATCCGAAGTTGTCAAAAACCGAGTTGCCAAGTTGGGATTCATTCCGGAGAGACCCGGAAACAGCGAAAGCTCAACACGAAGAAACAGCAAAAGAAACAGCCAAGGAATTTTATCCGCTGACGAAATAAAAAAGTACCTGGATCCCTTGAAAAGGTCCCAGTCCGAACACGCCATGGCTGAAAACAAAACAGGTCCTAACTTCCCGAGTCGAAGTACTGTAGATTATATGACTAATGAAGTTTCCAGCTCGATGGGAAACAGCATTGAAAAAGAAGAAAGCGAAGTTAGTACCATTTCGCACACGGGTTATATCCGACAGAAAGACTCTTTCTCCCGGTCAAAGTCGGGCGTGAACTGGAAACGAAAACGGGAATTCTCCAAAAAACGAAACCCGTTTGTGGGAGTAATCGGCCGAAGTGCTTCGGTCCGGACAGACGCGTCAAAGTCTAACTATAACTTCACGTCATTCCAGGATCCAGAAGAACTCAATCAAAAGTTTGATTCGACTCCTAGTTTGACGAATATCAATCAAAACTCTTTCGCATCACCCGGGCCGAATTTTTCTTCAACATCGACTGGAAGACACAGTTTCTCAAACTCTGCTTACCCTCGGAGCTACATGCAAAACAACAAATCAAGAAGTTATGTTCTCGAGGAACCGTCTCTCAACTCATCACCGACGATTAAACGACAACCGACCACTGCCAGTCTGACCGCCGAGACAGCGGAACTCTTAGGCACTCCGACAGCTGTCGAGTTCGAACCACCAACCGAAAGATCTTGTAGTCGAGGCTCGGGGGGGCTAGAAAATAACAATGCTCTGGGTTTGGTTTATTACATGGTCTTAAATGCGATTCGAGACTCAATTCAGCCCAATAACAGCAAAATGGCGCTGAAGTTGTTCGGCAGTAAGAAGTGTGTTTTGAAGGAGAAAAAACGATGCGAAGAAGAAGCACCCTGGATCATTCATCCTTTCAGCACTTTTAGGTTAGTCAGCAAATCTTCTTCGTTTCACCTTTAGTCTGGCATTTTTTCTTAAAAAGGACACGGTTTGAACTTTGAAAAAAATAATTATACCTCGACAATTAAGAAAAGGCAAGATGAAAATAATGCTGCTATTTAAATGAATCATTGAAAACGAACAACTGCCAGGTTTTCAAAAAGATGTACCAGAGGATTCTTAAACAATTTTGACGCGCTTCGAAGCACCACCAGTGGCTTTTTTGGGAATTTCAAAAAAGATATTTGGCCTATTAATTTATGATCTCCAATGGTCACTCTACCAACCAAAGTCTGGAAACAGTATTCGAACGAAAACTGAGCAAAAATTTTTCACATATTGTCTGAATTTCGACACGAGAACATTTGGTTGCTTTGAATACTGCAGATTACATTTGCGGCGTTTTTTCTTCGTTTTTGTTTTGACCATTCTCGGGATTTTTATTCAATCGTTCTTGTGTTAAATATTACTGCTTCTTGTGTTAAATATTTATTTACTGATATTATAGCATAAAATTATAACGAGCTTAAATATCCACAAAGAGGTGAAATTTCATTTGGATCCCATCTGCAGTTAATTCTTTTACTCGCACGTTCCACCCACAAGCAATTGAGAAAGAAACAATATACTATTTTCAATCCCAAGTTTGTTACTTAGGGCGATTTCAAAAAGCGTGTGGTTCCTTTCATAAATGCCCATTAAAGTTTTGGTCCAGCAATTTCCAACCAGTCTGTGGTTCTTTCATTATAACCAGCTACGGTAAAAAGGGCGGATCCACCGCCTCCCTAGGGTGCCATGTCCACTTTTGATTCGAAACCAAATTGGTCTCCTATGGTTGAGACAAGTATTGAAAATCAGATTAAGTGATCGATGGAATGAGGCAAATTTGACTACGCCAGAACGGTTGGAAGGAATAGTTGCGAGCTAATGAAAACGGCTCTCTTCATTTATTTTTTTTCTGCTTTATTCAATTCATATTGCTTCATTAAGACAAGATTGCAAATGTGGAAGTATTTCATTTAAGACTCATAGTGATAAAAGGCTGAAGAAGGGGCTGAGGTTAGGAACATTTGGCTACATCTGAATGGAACACCAATAGAGCCCTTATTGTTCATCTATCTGACGGCGATCCCTAGTCGATCAAGGAGAGATATCATGCAAGAGGGGTTGTTTAATGCATTTAATGAAATTCGCCGCGAACTGAGACTGTAGATGAAACGGATCAGTTATTACATCTGTTCTCACTATCTCATTAATCCGATTACGAAAGAACGCAGCAAATCATTTATGCCATGGGTTTTTTCAGAAACTTTCCAAGTTATTAACGGAGTGAGTTATGACCTATTGGTTATACTCATAGAGTAATTTCAGATAAAGTATACCGTCTGCTCGTCACGCTATCTCATTTTCGGCCGGATAGATTCGTGCAACTTCTTTGTCTAATACCAATCTTAATCTTACTCTTATATCTCCTAGTCTCAATAGATCTAGTGTATACTGGTTTATGCGAGTTAGTTCTTGGAGTTTATCCAGAAGGAGAACAACTGTTTTCAAAGTTTTATTTAAACTGTTCTGTCTGAAACTACAAGTAGTTTCATCACTTACAAATAAGTGTCAATGTTAGAGCTCTAACATTGACACTTATTTGTAAGTGATGAAACTACTTGTAGTTTCAGACAGAACAGTTTAAATAAAACTTTGAAAACAAAACTTTCTAGATGGAATATGAAATAAAACTTTCTAGATGGAATATGATTGGTTAGTTAGTAATATTTTATAGTGATAATTTATCAATAATATAATTGGTTTATAAATACTAGTTTAGAACTGGTTCCAGGAGATTTTTTTGCACAAAAGTCTGAAACAATTGTAAGAAAGATTTCATTAGTCCGATTAGTTAGGTTCTATTTTGACTCACAAAGCATCAATATTCTCAGCAATGATTGAAGAATCAGCTTCTCATCATTTCTGACTGACTAATTATTTCTTATAAGTGAATATACGCCCAACAAATTGTCCCAATTGGAAGCAAGCTAATTGTAACAAATAAAACTGAACTAGGAGCAAATTAAAATTTTTAGCAAATCTGTATGTTACTGAAGGGCGATGGTTTCGCAAAAAAACATGCGAGGTATTAAAGATCCAGGTTTATTTTTAATGTTTTTATTCGAAAACTGTTCGAAACAATTTAAGGAGACAGATTAAAAAGTCAGGGCTTCTGGTACTATCCCAGAGTGATAATTTTGACTGAAATTGTTAGACCATCTCACTAATATTGTTGTTTAGAATTCAAATCTACAAAAAATTCGTTATCCGTGACATTTTTTTGATGTAATAATAGGATTAGCTTATTGTTGCGGCAATTGAAAATGGGAAACAACATTTGTCTCTGGGTGTATTTTTTTGTTTTCCAGGCAAGGTAAGGTACCATAAATAATTATCAAAAAATCATACTAAAGCTATTTCAATTGGAATTCGAAGTTAAATAAATTCTCTCAGTGTCGAAAAAACCAGTTCAAAACTTTTGTTTTTCAGTATAATTTCGAAAAAAAATCAGGTTTTTAATAGGCTTATAATATACTTATAATTCAAATGAGGTTAAGAAAAAAATAGATTTACTCTAGTAAAACTAGCTTTCAACGTTTATTTTAGTTCATTTTTTGCTATTGAATTTGGAATAAAACCATATTCAGGGAAGAATTTAGGGGGGAGCGGACGGCTCCCTTCCCCCTCCACTCAGGGATTCGACCCCTTGCCGACCCAAAGGGTCCACCCTTTGGTACTTTTTAAGAAATATTTTTGGCCGACCCACCCTAAAATTTTTCTAAAGGCGCCTTTGGCGCCAATATATACTAATTTTGAGGGGGGCGCGCTCGCCAAAAAAGCGCAATTTTTTGGTCAAAAATTTCCAAAAAGTGCCAAAAACGCCTTTTTTGGACTGTTTTTTCAAAATTTTGCCTGCGGCGAAGAAATTTTGGCTAAAACAGGGACTAAACTGTTCGTAGGGAGAACTCGAAAAATCAATTCGGTCGACCTAAAAAAGAAGGTCGACAAAATTTCGAAAAAAAAATTGAAAATCCGCCCCCCTTCTCGAGAAAATCCTAGATCCGCCCCTGACCATATTAATTTTTTAGGAAAATTTTCTTAATTTTTGAAAATTTTTCTACTATTTTCAAGAAGAGAACTGTTTTTAATTGTGTTTAGGTTATTTTTGCTATCAAATCTCTATGCTTTTAACCAGATCCTCATCACATCCCGAAGCAAAAACGGCGCAATTTCAAAAACAAAATAAAGAATCTCTTTTAAGTTTCTTTGTGGTTGGAACTTTTTGTGCTTTTTGCACAGCAACCACCTATAGTGTTTTAGGTTTGGAAATGTCAACATGGTTATTCTTGGGTTTGGAAATGTCAACTAAGTTAAATTTATTATTGTCTGGCTGAAACTATAAATAGTGTTAGCCTTACAGTTTATTGTAAGTGTTAGTCATGGATCATGATTAGTTAGTTCTATGTATTTTACAGAGATAATCTATCAATAATATAATTGGATATAAATACTTGTTTTAAACTGGTTCCGATTTCTAGTTTTTGTTCAACATATAACGTCGGATTTCGGAGTTAAAATTTTTCCAAAAAAGAGAGAAAAAATACCAAGTTAAGTTTTTAGTTGTTAAAAATTACAAAATTTTTTTTTCGATTGGAGCATTGTTTTTTGTCGCTGTTTATTTCATCAAATCAGGTTTTTAATAGGCTTATAATATACTTATAATTCAAATAAGGTTAAGAAAAAAAATAGATTTACTCTAGTAAAACTAGCTTTCAACGTTTATTTTAGTTCATTTTTTGCTATTGAATTTGGAATAAAACCATATTCAGGGAAGAATTTAGGGGGGAGCGGACGGCTCCCTTCCCCCTCCACTCAGGGATTCGACCCCTTGCCGACCCAAAGGGTCCACCCTTTGGTACTTTTTAAGAAATATTTTTGGCCGACCGACCCTAAAATTTTTCTAAAGGCGCCTTTGGCGCCAATATATACTAATTTTGAGGGGGGCGCGCTCGCCAAAAAAACGCAATTTTTTGGTCAAAAATTTCCAAAAAAGGCAAAAACGCCTTTTTTGGACTGTTTTTTCAAAATTTTGCCTGCGGCGAAGAAATTTTGGCTAAAACAGGGACTAAACTGTTCGTAGGGGGAACTCGAAAAATCAATTCGGTCGACCTAAAAAAGAAGGTCGACAAAATTTTGAAAAAAAAATTGAAAATCCGCCCCCCTTCTCGAGAAAATCCTAGATCCGCCCCTGACCATATTAATTTTTTAGGAAAATTTTCTTAATTTTTGAAAATTTTTCTACTATTTTCAAGAAGAGAACTGTTTTTAATTGTGTTTAGGTTATTTTTGCTATCAAATCTCTATGCTTTTAACCAGATCCTCATCACATCCCGAAGCAAAAACGGCGCAATTTCAAAAATAAAATAAAGAATCTCTTTTAAGTTTTTTTGTGGTTGGAACTTTTTGTGCTTTTTGCACAGCAACCACCTATAGTGTTTTAGGTTTGGAAATGTCAACTTGGTTATTCTTGGGTTTGGAAATGTCAACTTGGCTAAGTTAAATTTATTATTCTCTGGCTGAAACTATAAATAGTTTTAGCCTTACAGTTTATTGTAAGTGTTAGTCATGGATCATGATTAGTTAGTTCTATGTATTTTACAGAGATAATCTATCAATAATATAATTGGATATAAATACTTGTTTTAAACTGGTTCCAATTTCTAGTTTTTGTTCAACATATAGCGTCGGATTTCGGAGTGAATATTTTCCAAAAAAGAGAGAAAAAATACCAAGTTAAGTTTTTAGTTGTTAAAAATTACTAAATTTTTTTTCGATTGGAGCAGCATTGTTTTTTGTCGCTGTTTATTTCATCAAATCAGGTTTTTAATAGGCTTATAATATACTTATAATTCAAATGAGGTTAAGAAAAAAATAGATTTAC